TCCATTCATCAGTTGATGGACATTTAGGCTTTTTCCATAATTTAAGCCTTTCGTTTTCTGAAACACCATAATCTTCCTTCCTGGGAACTAGCCAGAATATGTTGCCTGCATTTCTTTCCTTCTATTTTCTTTAAAGTTTTTTTTAATGTTTTTTTTTTTTTTTTTTTTTTTTTTTAATGATTTTTTAGGAAATTTACCAAGTTGTGAAACCATCACTATAATCTAGTTTTAGAACATTCTTATCTCCCCAGTAAGATCCCTCATACCCATTTACAAGTCATTATCATTCCCAAAGCCCTGGTCCCAGGCAACCCCTAATCTACTTTCTGTCTCATAGATTTGCCTGTTCCAGGTAGTTCACATAAATGTAATCATACAGTGCACAGTTTGGTTTTTTCTTTGTTGTTTTTTTAATGTTTATTTCTGAGAGAGAGAGAGAGAGAGAGCGCACATGCACGCACCAGCAGGGGAAGGGCAGGGAGAGGGAGACAGAGAATCCAAAGTGGACTCCACACTGACTGCAGAGAGCCCAATGTGGGGCTCAAACTCACGGAACCACAAAATCACAACGTGAGGCAAAGTTGCACACTCAACTGACTGAGCCACTCAGGCACCCCAATACCCAATTTTTACATCTGGTTCCTTTCACTTAGCGGAACATTTTTGAGGTTCCTTCTTCTTGTGACATATCAATACTTCATTCCTTTTTATTGCTCGTTCTCATTAGAATTCTGTCATATGGCTATATCACATTTTGTTTCTTCGTTCATCAGTTGATGGGCATTTGAATTGTCACCACTTTCTGGCTTTTATGAATAATAATGCAATGAACACTCATATGGAAGTATTTTTGTGGATATATGTTTTCATTTTTCTTCTGTGGATACCTAGGATTGCTGGGTTGGATGGTGATTTATATTCAACATTTTAAGAAACTACTAAACTATTTTCCAAAGTGGCTGCATCATTTAACATTCCCGCCAGCAATGTATGAGGGGCCCCATTTCTCCACATTCTTGCCAGCTTGTATTATTGTCTTTTTATCACTGCCACTCTAGTGAGTGTGAAATAATGGCTTATTGTCATTTTAATTTGCACTTTGCTAATGACTAATGTGGAGTGTCTTTTCATGTGCTTATTAGCCATTTGTGTATCTTCTTTGGTGAAATAGCTCTTCGGTCCTTTGCTCATTTGTAAATTGGGTTCTGTCTTCTTGAGTTATAAGAATTCTTTGTATATTCTGGATAAGAGACCCTTATCAGATATGTGATTTGCAAATATTTTTTCCCAGTCTATGATTTGTCTTTTTATTTTCATAAGAGTGTCTTTTGAAGCACAAAGGTTTTGAATTTTGATGACATTCAATTACCATTTTTTCTTTTTGTGTATTATGCTTTTGGTGTTACGTGGAAGACATATTTTCCAAACCCAGAGTCAGAAAGATTTCCTCCTATGTTTTTTCTAAAAGTTTTATTTAATGCTTATTTATTTATTTTGAAAGAGAGAGAGGGGCGCCTGGGTGGCGCAGTCGGTTGAGCGTCCGACTTCAGCCAGGTCACCATCTCGCGGTCCGGGAGTTCGAGCCCCGCGTCAGGCTCTGGGCTGATGGCTCAGAGCCTGGAGCCTGTTTCCGATTCTGTGTCTCCCTCTCTCTCTGCCCCTCCCCCATTCATGCTCTGTCTCTCTCTGTCCCAAAAATAAATAAACGTTGAAAAAAAAAATTAAAAAAAAAAAAAGAGAGAGAGAGAGAGAGAGAGAAAAAGCACTAGTGGGGGGAGGGACAGAGAGATGGAGAGAGAGAGAATCCCAAGCAGCCTCTGCGCTGTGCTGTCAGCACGGAGCCAGATATGGGGCTCCATCCCATGAACTGTGAGATCATGACCTGAGCCAAAATTGAGAGTCAGACACTCAACCGGCTGAGCCACCCAGGCGCCCCCATCTGAACTACTCTTTAGCTGTGTGATTATTGACTCCTTACTTAACCTATCTAGAAGCTTTAGTGCAAAATGGTTAATTGCCTGCACAGGGTTATTGTAAAGAGTAAATGAGCAAATAAGTGAAAAGATTTAGAAACACTGAATGGCATATGATAAAGCACTTGATGTAAACATTACTCTCTTTTGAAGAGTATCCTTTTATTTTTTAGAAATTTTTAATTTATTTTTGAGGTGGGGGGACAGAGAGACGAGAGAGAGAGAGAGAGAGAGAGAGAGAGAGAATCCCAAGCAAGCTCTGCGCTGTCAGCACAGAACCCGACATGGGGCTCAATCTCACGAAACTGAGATCATGCATGCCCTGAGCCAAAATCAAGAATCGGATGCTTAACTGACTGAGCCACCCAGGTGCCCCTAAAGAGTAACCTTTTAAAGAATAGCCATTTCAAAGTATCATACTGACCCTACTTTGTAGGCTATATGAAAATAAGTGGCAGGCTAGATTTGGCCTGTAGGTCATACATAGTTAGTCAAGTCCTGATCTAGAGTTGGATGATATTGCTTTACCTGTCTGGAGTTGAATGACACTGTTTTGCGTCCATTGTGTTTAATCTTTGGAAGTGCGTGTGGGCACATACATATGTTTTTTAAAGTTAAAGGCTGGAGAAGGAAGGGAGCAGATAGGAATGGCACTGGGCCTGACGGAGATTCTGAGGGAGGTCCTCTGTCCCTTGGTCACCACTGTTGTAAGTCAAGTGACCTGACCATCTATATCTATATTCTTCTTCCTTGTTACTGCTTCCCTTTTTCTCTATTCTCCTTCTTTGGGTTTTAGAGTCCCAAAGAAAGGAATGAGAACATTGGTCTGCTTTGCCAACTCCTTGGGGACAATTAGTATTTGTGACTCCTTTTCCCTCTGATAAGATCGATTACTGTCTCTTTCCCTCATGTCGCCCAGATCCTGAAAGGCATGCTGGAGGGTGCTTCCCACATCCTTCCTGCACTCCGGGTCTTGAGCAGTCTTCTGTCCAGCTGCAGCGACTCTGTTCTCTTGTACTCCTTCTGTCGTGAGGCAGGGCTCCCCGGGCTGCTGCTCAGCCTGCTCAGACACAGCCAGGACAGCAACAGTATCCAGCAGGTAAGCAGTAGGCCAGTAGCCTTGAAAGACTTCCAGGACTTTCTGCTCCTTGGATTTCTCTTCTTCAAAGTGCCATCTCTATTCGGCCCACTGCCTTTTCTTTTCTTTCCTCCTCTCCGGTTAGTAGACCACGAGTTGCATACTCCACTGCCTTCTGATGCCAGGCAGATCCCGTCAGTCAGGGAGGTAGACTCTGTGTGACTGTATGAGAGTAGTGGGGAAGACGACAGACCGGAGATCTTGTGCCCAATCTGAATGGGACATGCCCTCAGCTTCAGCTCACTGTTGCCACATGAGAACACAGGCCCTGTGTTGCCAGATCTTCCAGTTTTCTAAGAGAAGCTAGAAATCCAGATTTTTATTCTCAATTTCCCAATATTTAGAGCACTGTGGTTTGGAATATTAAATCCTAGGTTTTAATTGACCTGCTTTTATAGAACAGAGTACTGAAATTCAGGGATTAATCAACTTATACACCAGCATTAGCTTGTAAATGGCCACAGGGACAATAAATGGAGGAGGTAGGATAAACAGAGGAGGTAGGCATGAGGCTCAGGGTGTCTGAGGCCAGATCTGTGCTACCCCACGCTGCATTCTGCTGTGGCTGAGCTGAGAGGACAGAACACTGAAATGTTTAATGGGAAGCTGCATCCTGCTGGTGAGTGTTAACCTTGAATGTTTCTAAGGAATTTAGAAAGGAATTTGAGCTATTTGAAAAATAGAGCCTCCTGAACTAAATGCTATTCTGGCCAAGCAAGATACAGGCTGTTTACAGCCCCCTGTCTGCCCCTTTGTTACCTCTAGATTTCCTCTTTCTGTCCAGAAGCCTCCCTGTTTGGTCAGCCTGACTGGATATCTGACACCTTTTTCACTGCCTTTTCTCTTCGTCTACATTGCCCTTATTCTCCGTCCTCTTCCCTGGCAGCAATGTTGGTATGGGACCTTCTTACGGCACCTGATGGCTGTGATTCAGGCCTATTTTGCCTGCACCTTCAATCTGGAGAGGAGCCAGACAGGTGACAGGTGGGATGAGAGCCAGCTTTGCTCTGTTGGCCACTTTGGCTTCAATTTCTACCCCCAATTCTTCCTTCCTCTGTTAGGAAGAGGCTAAGTGAGGAGAAAGCAACAGGTTAGGGATCCCCTGATTCTCTTAAGGACCGAGACCACTCTAAGTTCACCCCAAGACTTTGAGGTTCTAAGGGTCACCATACACTAAATGGAAGGGTCACAATTTAAGTAACGTAGAGAAAATGGCAAAGAAAGGTCTTGGAGGGTATGTAAGACTCTGTGTGTGTTTAGTGGGGGGAGGGGAAGGAGCATTCTGATATATTCCTTTGCACAGATTCTCCTACCTGCAGAACTGACGTTTACCTCACGTGGGCTTTTAGAGAGATGGGCTATTTTTTCCCAGCCTACAGGTGTTTCAGGAGGCCGCCAACCTCTTTTTGGACCTGTTGGGGAAACTGCTGGCCCAACCAGATGACTCTGAGCAGACTCTAAGGAGGGATAGCCTTATGGTAATCTGCTCCCTTGTCCAGATTTCTGTCTCTGATATCTTTCCATGTTTCTCCCTTTCCCTTTCTTATAACTATAGAGGGTTAGATCAAAGTAATAGAACAAACATTTATTGAATACCTACTGTGTGCCTTATGCCACTTGAGTACGAGAAGGTCCCCATTGTCAAGGGACTAGTAGTCTAGTAGGAGAGATGAAAAATGATCAAGGACAGCAGCATGAAAAGTACATTAGAACTTGTATAAAACTTGTATAAAGTACAGAAGCACCACTGAAGAAGATATGATTAATATTACTTGGGGAGTCATAGAAGAAATCTCAAAGGAAATCATCTTTGCTAGGATTCGAAGAATGCATAGAAGTTTGCCGGGTGGGTGAGGCAGAAAGTAGGGAGGACATTCTAAGCAGAAAGAGCAGCATTTACAAAGGCCCAGAGGCATTAAGGACTGTGGCCTGTTTCAGGGAACTACAAATAGAAGTATTTCTTCTTTTTTTTTTTTAATTTTTTAATGCTTTTTTAATTCATTTTTGAGAGACAGAGACAGAGCATGAGTGGGGGAGGGGCAGAGAGAGAGAGGGAGACACAGAATCTCAGGCAGGCTCCAAGCTCTGAGCTGTCAGCACAGAGCCCAATGAGGGGCTTGAACCCACGGACTGTGAGATCTTGACCTGAGCCAAAGTCGGATGCTTAACTGACTGAGCCACCCAGGCGCCCCTAGAAGTATTTCTTTTTGAAGAGACTTGCAGATGGACTAGTATTTCCCAAATGTATTTGCCCTACGACTAGCAAGCTAGTGGGTTCTCGCCCCTGGACTCTGGAAATGAGGGACAGGAGAATAGAAGATTGAATGAGAAGATAGCGGAGTTCTGACTGATCTCCAAGGGGACACTTAGGGAGGAACATGAGCAAGGAAATAAACAGTTGCCTAGCCATTGTTCAGACTGGCAATTGGGAACACAGATCTGGGCTGCATTTCTGCCTCCAGTGAGCAGTCCATTCGAACTCTTCTAGTCTGAGAGCCTATTTTAACCTCCCTCATCCTTTCAAGTCAGGAAGCTTTCAACGTCTAGCCTAAACTTTGGCCATCAGTGACTCACATTATTGGCCAGCATTTGTCATATGTCACTGTGCAGTGAGTGCATAGGAAGTTTGGAATAAACACCCCACCTCCTGAAATTCTGAATCAGTAAGACTGGGTTGGAAGGCACCCAGGAATCCCCAGGAATTCTCATACTCATGGACTACAGATAACACTTTGAGAAACATCATCTAGGAAGCAGCTGATCAGAGAATAGGATTGATAACCTAAAATTGCCATCCTTGAAATGTGAAGGCAATTAATTATAATGCATTTTCTGTGTGAGGAATACTTAGAATGCCACAGCTGGTCCCCCTGGGTTTTCTCCTTTATTCTCAGGTTTTCTGGGGGGATTCTTGCTCCTTACCCTAAACCCAGTCAGTTTTCTGCTGCCCTAATGTTAATGCCGCCCTTGTCTCCCTTAGTGCTTTACTGTTCTGTGTGAAGCCATGGATGGGAACAGCCGGACCATCTCCAAAGCCTTTTACTCCAGCCTGCTGACTACCCAGCGGGCTGTGCTGGATGGGCTCCTTCATGGCCTGACAGTTCCCCAGCTCCCTTTCCACACACCCCCAGGTAACCAGAGTAGGGAGCGGAGGTTCTCTTGACTTCTGAGTAACTCCAGCTGTGCCCTCCCGACTGCCATTGCCTCGAAGAGTGCCTGGCATTTAGTGAGGGCTCAGCAACTAACTGTGCACTGAAAGAATGAATGGGGATCCGAGACAAACAATCAGACCCCACCCTGCGTTCTTTGCTTTTCTCCATAGGAGCCCCCCAAGTGAGCCAGCCACTACGGGAGCAGAGTGAGGACCTGCCTGGAGCCATGTCCTCTGCACTGGCAGCCATATGCACTGCTCCTGTGGGGCTGCCCAGCTGCTGGGAAGCCAAGGAGCAGGTCTGAGCTGCAGTTTCTGATTTCCTCTCATCCATGTTGCTGGAGATGAGGCTGGCCTCAGCTTCTCAGAAAGGCAGAAAAACAAGCATTTTTGCTTCCCCTTACTCTGTACTTCCAGAAACAGATGCTTCCACCTGGGTCTGGTAATCTGGCCACTTGTTGAACACGATGTCGCCAAAATCCCAGAACCCTTGGCCAGCTGGCTAGAGAGCTCATTGACAAACTGCCCATGTGGTAGGGTAGCTGACCCGAAGCTACCTGTGATGCTGCCTTTCAAGGGCTCAGGGTTTAGATTTCCTGCTCCCTTTTGGCCAGCAACACTTTCCTCTATACCTGTCTCTACTAGGGCTAAACTAGGCCATGACTTTTGGTTCTTCTTTGGCCATGAAGACTGGGAATAGAATGGGATCTGAGGTTCCTGGTGAACCTGAGGAAGAGTGGCTAGCAAGGGGTTGAGAACCCTGAGTAGTTGGAGACATGAGAGGAGCAGGATTGGAATATGGGAATGGGGTTGAGGCTTCAAGTATGTCCCTACAGATCTCTCAGCATTTGGCGAATCAGCTCACCGAGGACAACAACCAACTGAGACCGTCCCTTATCTCTGGCTTGCGGCATCCCATCCTGTGCCTACACATTCTCAAGGTACTGCCTGTCGAGAACTCTTGGGACTTCAGATTTCTTTTTAACCCCCAAGACCAAGAGAGAAAGACACTGAGAGAGACAAGAGACCCCAGAGGGTCCCTTTCTGCTTTCCAGTCTGTTCGACCTGAGATGGCCCCACTGTTAGCCAGTCCTCACTAGAATAGAGCAGTAGCCCTATCTCACCGTCTTATAGCAAGAAGAGGCGGAAGTTGGCCTGAACTTCTCGAATTGCCCCGGTGTGGACACTAGATCTGCGGAGAGGCTAGCCTGCTTCTCAGCTGAGCCTTCTGATCCAGGAACCCAGGGGCTGCTCGGCTTCACTGACAGACTGCTTCCCACTCCTTTAGGTTCTCTACTCATGCTGCCATGTCAGTGAGCGCCTGTGCCATCTGCTAGGGCAAGAGCCCCTGGCCTTGGAGTCACTGTTGATGCTGGTCCAGGGCAAGGTAGGCCAGGAACACAGGCAGGTATATCGTGGTGGCCCTACTGTCTCAATCAGAAGTTGCTCTGATATCTTTGGTTTCCTTTGTAGGTAAAGGTAGTAGATTGGGAAGAGTCTACTGAGGTGGCACTCTACCTCCTCTCCCTTCTTGTCCTTCGGCTGCAAGATCTGCCGTCTGGGTAAGCCTGAAGTAGGTTCTGTCCACTGGAATCTTCCCTCCCGATAGCTCACCCTGATGTAGAATATGGGGAATGGCACCTTACAGCCTATCCTCAGAAGGGATGGGGATAGAAGGGATGGGGATGTTCTCTACACAGAACAGAACAGACCTAGATTCCTACCAAATTTGTGCCTCGGAGCAATGGTCATGCAGCCGTGTGGAGAGTGCCATCCAGCGGGGAGGGAGTCCACTCCCTAGCCTCCTTTCATTTGGTGCATCCTTTGATGAATCTTCTTTTTCCAGAATGGAGAAGCTAGGCAATGAGATTGCTACTCTCTTTACCCATTCACACGTTGTCTCTCTCGTGGTGAGTTTTCAGTTTTCCCCTCCTTCCCCTTTTCACCCTGCCACCCAGGCCTGCGGGGTGCACGGGCATCACTCTCATCAAGAGGTGGTTATGAGGCATTCTTCTGGGCCAGAGACATAAATCTTCTCTGCCTGTCGTGACTACTGGGCAGATTCAGACATTCCTTCTCTTCCTCTAATTCCCCAGAGTGCAGCAGCCTGCCTGTTGGGTCAACTTGGTCAGCAAGGGGTGACCTTTGACCTCCAGCCTGTGGAGTGGATTGCTGCAGCCTCACACGCTCTGTCTGCCCCTGCAGAGGTGAGGTATACCAGAGAGGGCACAGACAACATTTTCACTGAGTCAGACCCAGGACTCCACTTGGGGGCAAGACTGAAGTGCCAGCTTGGCTGGGGCAAACTATGCAGTCGTTCATTTCCTCCCTGTCTGCCCCCAGATGACAGCTTCTCTGAGCCCAGACTGGGCTGGCACTTCCAAAGAGGGACAGAGGGAGGGGGACCCGAGTTACCTACTGGAGGATGAGATCTTCCTGCCTACTTTAGTCTCCTCCCGCAGAAGCTCCTGCTCCTGTTGTTAGGGTCATTTCAAAAGCTTAATCTCTTCCCCTCTGACTACAGTTTGGCTTCCCTGTCCCCCCTCCTTCTCCTTAACTGAAATGGAAAAGGTGGCTGGCATCCCGAGAACTCTTGAGGAATCCAGTCCATTGTGTAGCCTCCTTTCTGCTTTCTCCTTTTCCGGGCCTTCCCCCCGCCTCTCCTTTTTAGGTACTTTGGAACGCCTATTTCTTTCATTTTGTAATAAGGATAGACTTCGTATTCAAATGATCATCATCCTTATAGATGCAGAATTCTTTATAATTTGGAAAGCACCTCACATCTTATCTTACAACACACTTGAAAGAGAGACGCATGAAATGTAATGAGACTCACCTGCTTTTTCTAGGTAAAGTTGAACTTCAGAGAGGTGGTACCAGTAGTGATGACACTCACATTCATCCAGGAGCCCCAGTCAGAAATCTGGGAGTCATCATAGACTGTGTTCTCTGCTCCATTATTCCCCCATCTAGATGGTTCCCCCAGGTCCCATGTGTTCCGCCTTCCTGTTGTCTCAGATCTTTTTTTACCTGGCACCATCACTGCCCTGCCTTAGTTTGTGTGCACACCATCTATGTTGCACTGTGGCGCTTGCCCGCTGAAGGATCTCTATTCTAGGCTCTCTCCTCTCCAGTCTATTCTCTTCACTGCCACCAGGGTGAGCTTTCTTAAAAGTCTAGTCATTTGTTCAAGTATTTAGCACAGAAGTATCTATTGAGTACCGAACGCTATTCTGGGTTCTGAGACTACAGCAGTGAATAACAGACGAAAATCTTGCCCACGTGGAGCTTGTGGAGCTCAGTGGCTTCCCATTGCTTCCGGGATAAAGTCCAGACTCCTTTACCTTCTCCTCAGAGCTCATCTGTTACCTCTGGGCTCTATAATCCTGCTATACCAGGAGTTACCACTTCCAAAATTCACTATCATTTTTCATGACCTGCCTTCATTTATGCTACAAGGAATGCTGTCCCTTCCTACCACCTCCTTCTCTTGACTGCTTTTTGAACTTTTAATTCATCGGTGTTCTACCTCCAGAAGGCAGAGTTAGGCACTCTCAACTGTGTCTCCACCCCCACCCCAACCCCAGCCTCTTGTGTGGCAAGTGTCTTCCGACCCTACCAGATGATGTGTCTTTAGAGCAGAGGTAGTCATTGAATGAATAGTCAGGAACCAGGACTTGTGTAAGTCCAGGAGAGCTTTCCCCACTACACCAGGCAGAGGACAAGCTCTTTCTGCCTGACCAGGAGTTGCAGGCATGGGTTTGTGAGGCCCCTTCATCTCTCTTGGGGATCTGCATTCTTCCTGCCTCTCTCTGTCAGGTCCGGCTGACTCCACCAGGTGGCTGTGGATTCTATGACGGCCTCCTCATCCTGCTGCTGCAGCTTCTCACCCAGGTACAGGTGCATCCTAGGTTGGATGGGAAGGCAGGAGAGACAAACTAGGCATTTTGATGAACCACTAGACGATGGGAATGAAGAAGCAACCCACACTTGCCTCTTCTGTCAAATATGGTGGCCGTGATTACCTTCAAAAGGGCCCCCCTGCCCTCATCGTGGACCCTTTCTGGGGAATCCCAGCTGCATCCCAGGATTCAGTGAGGAGGAGAGCTGTAATTCCCTGGTTTCTAGCAGACACTTGCGTGGGTTAAGATGTGATAAGAAAGGTAACTAAGACAACAGGGAAATCCCACATTGTTGGGAAAACAGAGGAATTATTTCTGGGACTCCCTTTCCTTAGAGGTCAGGGATAAGAGTGAAAAAAAAGAAAAGAAAAGAAAAAGGCATTTGATACCTGACTTTGACTTCCCTACCCACCCTCCTTCAATTTCATCTCCAGCCAGGGAAGGGTAGCCCGATGAGGGACGTGGCTAGCTCAGAAATGTGGACCATTCTATGGCACCGCTTCTCCATGGCTCTAAGGCTCCCCGAGGAAATGTCTCCACAGGAATCACAGCCATCACAAAGCCCGGAGCCAGACTGGACGCTGATCTCACCCCAAGGTATCTTTCCATAAGCATGGCCTCCTTTGATCCTTTTCAAGAGGAGGCAGCCTAGAACTGGGTTAGCCCACAGAGATTGCAGCCGCTGCCCCCTGGGGAGAGGATGGCACAGACTGCGCTGGATGGGAAGGGGACTAAGTAGGTGGGGGCCCTGGAGAAGCTGGAGCATCCGGGGCCCTTCCTGCACCACTGGGTCTCCATTCTCGGTGTTTCCAGGCATGGCAGCCCTGCTGAGCCTGGCCGTGGCCACCTTCGCCCAGGAGCCCCAGTTATGCCTGAGCCACCTGTCTCAACGTGGAAGTATCCTCATGACCACCCTGAAGCACCTGCTTTCCCCCAGATTCCTGCGTCAGCTGGGCCGGGCGTGAGTTCGAGCTAGAGGAGGGAGACCAGACTGTCCAGACAGTCTGCAGTGTGGCGGTGGGGAGGGGTGGGCAGGAGAGCCGTAGCTGACAGCTTGAGCTACGAGGCCAGAAATAGGACTGGTGAGGTTGGAGAAGGGGCGCTGGACTTGGGGATTTGAGAAGGGGGCAGAGAATAATAAAGGGTGGGTGAGTAAAACCGAGTAAATCCTTCCACTCTGCCCTCTTTAGGCCTCACGGGTCTGGGTTTCTGCCCGTCGTGGTGCTCTCTGTCTGCCAGCTCCTCTGCTTCCCCTTCGCCCTGGATGTGGATGCCGACCTCCTTGGAGGTGTGTTAGCTGACTTCGTGGACTCAGAAGTCACAGCCCGCCTGCTGCAGGTATTTGGGAAAGCCACCAGGCGTGAAGGTGGAGGAGGAAGATGGCCGACCTCGTGTATTGTAATTCACTTCCCAACAGCTCCAGGGCTCCCCTGAGCCCCTGGAAGAGTGGAGCATCTGGCTTGATGTAAGCGTTGGAGTGGAGAAAGCATTCAGGCCCGAGCAGAAGCACTGGTTGGAGCTGGGGCTGGCGCCTCCCGTCTCCATCTGTCCCTCATCTGGATCTGTTGAAGTTCTGTGGGGAGGACATCCCAGTCTGGGCAGGGAGACTCAGCTCCTCAGCCAGGAGTCACTTCTGTGCAATCCTTGGCATTCAGCAGTGGGTTTTTGAAGGCAGAGAGCCTGAGTCCTTGCAGAGCAAGGAATGATCCTGCACCTGTTCTCTTGGGCTCCACAGTCTCACATGGAGGGCTCAGGTCAGGTCTTCCAGCTCTCTGTGGTATTTCTCAGCATAGCTTGGCTTTTCTCTTGGCCAGAGCTTGGGCCCCTTCTAGCTACCTCGCTGCGGTGAATTCTTCCTCTCCCTGAACCACTTTGCCTGCTCCTCTATCCCTTCTCCCAGGTCTGCTGCCACCATCTTCCATTGACGCAAGTTGAGTTGCCTGTCAGCCTCCTCACACACCTGGCCCTCACGGATTCCACCTCTCTCAACCAGTTTGTGAACACAGTGGCTGCCTCCCCTAGAACCATCATCTCTTTCCTCTCGGTTGCCCTCTTGGGTGACCAGCCGCTGCTGACCTCTGACATTCTCTCCTTGCTGGCCCACACAGCCCGAGTACTGTCCCCCAGCCACTTGTCCTTCGTCCAAGAACTCCTGGCTGGCTCTGATGAATCCTATCGGCCCCTGCGCAGCCTCCTGGGCCACCCAGAGAATTCTGTGCGGGCCCGCACTTACGGGCTCCTGGGCCACCTGCTGCAATACAGCATGGCTGTGCGTGGGGCACTGCAGAGCCAGGCTGGGCTGCTCAACCTTCTGCTGCTGGGGCTTAGAGACAAGGACCCTGCCGTGCGGCGCGGTGCCAGCTTTGCCGTGGGCAACGCAGCCTACCAAGCTGGTCCCCTGGGACCTGCCTTGGCAGCCGCGATACCCAGTGTGACCCAGCTACTTGGAGATCCTCAGGCTGGTATCCGGCGCAATGCCGCGTCAGCTCTGGGCAACTTGGGCCCTGAGGGTTTGGGGGAGGAGCTGTTACAGTGCCAAGTACCCCAACGGCTCCTAGAGATGGCCTGTGGAGACCCCCAGCTAAACGTGAAGGAGGCTGCCCTCATTGCCCTCCGGAGCCTCCGACAGGAGCCCTGCATCCATCAGGTACACCCCTGGGGACTTCCGGACCATGACGATGGGGTTGTATTTCACGACATTTTTCTGAGATAGCCTTTAAGGAATTGGGATGCTGGGAAACCCATGGGCGGTGTCTTGGAGATGGGTGTGCCATCTACCATCTCCCACCCCGGAAAAGGGAAGGAATGTGGGAGAGGGCTCCGATGAGTGGCAAATTCCCAGGATCTCCAAGCCCAGGGGTTCTCTCTTCTTGAGGCTACGTGGGAAGGAGGTGAGGCCAGATGAGGTGATGTTGAGGTCTAGAGGGATTTCATTCTGGGGGCTGGGAAGGGGCTATCTTTTTTCTTTTTTTTTTTTTTTTTAGCACTTACCGCATGAAAAGCGCCATGCTAAGCATTTTACCTTTATTACCTGGTTTAAGCTATTATATTCCTCATTTTGCAGGTGAGGAAACTGAGGCACTAAGGATTTAATAACGTGCCCAAGTTACAAAGCTAGTTTGGGGGACTGGACTTCTGAGCTCAAGGGTCTGAGTCCTGAGCCCATACCTTAACCACTGCTTTATTCTGCTTTTTCTGCTTGTGACATAAGTATCCTAATGGGAATCACACATCTCCCTATGATAAGGCTAAACCTCCAAATTATAATAAAGCAGTGTGGGAACATTGGCTGGTTCATGCAGAACAGAAATTTTGACAGGATGGTGATGATGTAAATTATGGGATTTTCTGGCAATCCATATGGGGAAATAATATAAGAGACTCTTGGTGGTACTGAGGTTAAGACCCATTGGTCAAGATTCATGACTTTTTGACTTACTGTCACTGCTGCATTTACGACCCCCTCCTGGGACAAATGCATGGATCCCTCGGTGCCTCAGTTTCATGGTGTGTAACCGAAGAGAATGGCAGTAGACCTCCGGTCTCGATGAGCCCTCTCTCCAAAGTTTCTCTTTCCCCGCAGAATCTATATTGATTCCCCAGGGGCCCATTGTCTTTTTCTTTCTTTACTAGAGTGGGAATTGCTGGGCCAAATGAGAGTCCTCTGCATGTCCTATTCTGTCATCTGCTCTCTGTCTCACAGGTGCTGGTGTCCCTGGGGGCCAGTGAGCGATTAGCCATGCTCTCTCTGGGGAATCAGCTCCTGCCGCATAGCAGCTCCAGGCCTGCCTCTGCCAAACACTGCAGGAAACTCATTCACCTCCTGAGGCCAACCCACAGCACGTGATCTCAGATTCCTACGGTCCATCCACCCACTTTCGTTACCCCTCTATTGCCAACCTTTTTCTATTCAAGCCACCAACTCAACCAAGAACTAAAAAGAGACTAAAAAAAGAGATAAGCTACAAGTCAAATGATTTAAGAACGAGAAACTAGAAGAGATTTATGTATAAAGCTCCCTCCTTTCCCCAGATTCAGGATGATTTCAATCAGTAAACTTCATTGCTGTTGGTGCCAGAGAAGATTCCTTCCTTTTCTACATGCAGGGGTCTTTCTCCAATAATGTGCCTTTAACCCCAGGAACATACCTCCCAGACCTCAGGGAGGTACCTTCTACCTGAGAGGCCGCTTCCTTTCTAGAGCTTGTATAATCCTCCCAACAGGTTCTTGCTTTTGTGCACTGGTCCTAGGACAGTGATGAAGACTGGGCCCATCTCAGCTCTAGGCTATGGGGATAAATGCTGCTGTGGATGGTTTCCTGACCCATAGCCCACATTCCCATCCATGGGTTATGGTAGAGAGTCTTTTCTTTTTTCTTTTTCCTTTCCCCTCTCTCCCCTCCCCTTTCCTCTCCTTTCCTTTATTTCTTTAACTTTCTCCTTTCTCTTTCTTTCTTTCTTTCTTTCTTTCTTTCTTTCTTTCTTTCTTTCTTGTTTTTCCTTTCTTTTCTTTCCTTCCTTCCTTCCTTCCTTCCTTCCTCCCATCCACCCATCTTTTCTATGTAAACTCCTGTAGTAAAAGGTATACCTCACCTTACTTGGAGATGCCAGGGTAAGAGCTTGGGTGGGGGTTCAGCTCCTCTCTTGGCTGCTGGTTGGTGCTGCAGCTCTTGTGTCCCGTTCACACAAGACCATGGTTTGGGACCTTATTTATTTATATCTGTTCCTGCCTTCCAGCTTCCTGCATCTCAGCTGAGCTACATGTGGTCACCTACTTCCAAGCCAAGACCAGTGGAGCTGAAATAGGGAGAGATAGGATTAAACAGAGTCGTACATTGGATTGCTTTGTGATCTCAGGCTTAGTGATGAGTTTTGATGTTTGATGGAATTTCAATGTATAGGGAAACCCAATTGCTTGAGAAGGGCAGCTGTTTAGGACGTCGTGCATTTCACCAGAAAGAGATGTTTGGCAGACCCATTAGAGTTGAGATCCAGCTGGAAACATACTACAAAGTTTCAACCCTGACTCACCGGATGGCTTGCGACAAGCTTCCCAGAGCCTTCCTTGGTTTCTCTATCCATAAAATGGGGGTATTACTTTTTGTCCTTCTTTAAATTCCAATTGTTTTTGAAATGAAAGATGAATAAAGTGCCTTAGTTTTATAAGGAATTTTATTTAGCATTCATCTTCATTGTCTGTGTTTATATTTTAGCAAAAATAACATTTTTTCTAGAGACCACTGGAATTTCCTCCTGTCCAGATTATGGCAGTTCAGTTCAACATTGAGTTCTTTCTCTGTGCGAGGTACTGTTGTAGGCACTGGAGATAAAGCAGTGCTTGTTTGTCGTAGAGTTTCCATTCTAGCTGCGGAGTCAATGAACTTACCAAAATAAGTGAATTCTGTACAGGATGTAGAGAGGTGATAAAGCTCTGGAGAACAATGAAGCGGAGAAAGAGGACGAGGAGTGCTGAGTTGGATGGTTAAGGTAGGCCTCACTGGGATGACCTTTGAGCAAAGACTTGATGGAGATGAGGCAAATGAGCAGTGTAGCTATCTGAGGGCAAAGTGAGGCAGAGAGAATGATCACTTCAAAGGTCCGGAGATGGAAGCTTGCCTGGTGAGCTTGAGGAGCTATGATGAGGCCAGTTTGGATGGCAGACGTGAAGAAGGGGGAGAATAGTAGGAAATGAGGACAGGAAGGTAGTGAGGACCAGATGTAAGCCTGTAGTAGACCTTGTACTTCGAGTAAAGTAGGGATGTATTGGAGAGTTTTGACAGAGAAGTGATGTAATCTACTTATGTTCTGAAAGATTACTCTCCATTCTGGTGTTGTGCATGGACTGTGAGGAGTGGGGGAGGCTGGGAAGCAGGGTGAGGGCTTAGGAGGCTGTGGTGGTACTAATGGAATGGTGAAAAGTAGTCAGATTCTGAATATATTTTGCACATGAAGCAAATAACATTTCTTACCTGATTGGATGTGAGGGTGTGAACGAAGGAAAGCAGACAAGGATATGACTCCAAGGTTTTTGGCCTAAGCAATTGGAAGAATGGAATTGCCATTAACTCAAATGGGGGAGGCTATTAGTGGAGTGGTGGTAGGTGGGAGAATTCAAGTTCAGTTTGGAACATATTAAGTCTATTAGTTGGAAATTTTTATTTTTATTTATTTTTTTTAATTTTTTTTAATGTTTACTTATTTTTTTTCAACGTTTATTTATTTTTTGGGGGGACAGAGAGAGACAGAGCACGAATGGGGGAGGGGCAGAGAGAGAGGGAGACACAGAATCGAAACAGGCCCAGGCTCTGAGCCATCAGCCCAGAGCTCGATCTGCGGGGCTCGAACTCCGAGACCATGCAGATCGTGACCTGGCGTCAAGTCGGACGCTAGTAATCACATCTGCTCCACCCAGGTCTAGTTGGAAATTTGTAAACACACAAAATTAGAGACATTAGTTCAGTGAATTCCATTACTGTTCCAACAGCTACCATATCTATTCTTTTTCTATTCAAGTATTTTAAAACACATCTTGGGAAATATATAATGTAACCCATATTACCTTGGTGTTTATCTTTAACAGATCAGAACTTCTGTTTTTGTTTTTAACAAAGCCACAGCTGGGGCACCTGATTTCAGCTTAGGTCATGATCCCAGGGTCATGGGATGGAGCCTCTTGTCAGGCTCCGTGCTGAGCGGGAGAGATTCTCTCTCCTTCTGCCCCTCTCCCCAACTTGAGCTCTCTCCAAAAAAAAAAAAAAGAAAAAAAAATTAAAAAACAAAAACAGAAACCCACAAAGCCACAGTACTTCACTAAGACTTGTCTGGATTTAGACAAATAAGTATTGTGTTTTAAAATCTAGATTTCCCCCCCCCTAAAAGATAAACTAGGAAGAATTACCTTAGGAAAGAATTATTTTTTATTTTTTTAATGTTTATTTATTTTTGAGAGAGAGACACATGCAGAGTGCTAGCGGAGAAGGGTCAGAGAAAGAGGGAGACACAGAATCCAAAGCAGGTTCCAGGCTCTGAGTTGTTAGCACAGAGCCCAACACAGAGCTCAAACTCACAAACCGTGAGATCATGACCTAAACTGAAGTCGGACGCTTAACCGACTGAGCCACCCAGGCGCCCAGGAAAGAAGTATTCTTTAGGAAAGAATTATTCCTCCCCCCCCCCCCCAATAATTCATTAAATACTAGCTAGAGATATCATGCTTGTCTGGCATATAAAACACTCGATGTAGAGAAATTAAATATACAGACTTTTTAGGTTATCACATAAAGCAATAGTTAATCATTTTATGAGGAAGCATAATAAGAAAACATATTTCCATCCTTGTGAGCATACAATCTAGGGGATTAAAAATCTATAAACAATCTTACACCATTTTATATCATTGCACAAAGTGCTGAGAGGATTAGAAGTGAGTGCTGTGAGAAGTGTCTGGAATTCACAGAACGTCTGGAAGGTTTGAGCGTTTGTGCCCATGTTTCATTTTGCGTATGTATGAGTGCATGTCTGCTTTAACTCTTTTGGTGGGAGAGGGAAGTTAACGTTTTCAAACATAAAAACAGAATAGCATAATAAGCTCCCAAACTCTGATCTCACAGATTCAGCTATTATAAACATTTTGCCACACTGGTTCTACCCATTCCATTAAAAAAATTTTTTTAACGTTTATTTAGAGAGAGAGTGAGAGAAAGCACAAGCCAGGGAGGGGCAGAGAGAGAGAGAGACACAGAATCTGAAGCAGGACACTTAACCAACAGAGCCACCCAGGCACCCCAATAATGGTTTCCTAACATCTGTTTTTGTTCTTAATGTCCCCAGCCCATATTCAGATTTCTCCACTGTCTCAAAAATATCTTTTACAGTTGGTTTGTTTGACTCAGGATCCAAACAAGGTCCACTCATTGCATTTGATAATGTCTCTTAAGTCTCCTACAATCTAGAACACCTTTTTTTAATACTCTGAAATCGTTGAAGAAATGAGGTCATTTGTCTGTACATTGGCCCACCTGGATTTGTCGGATTGCTTTCTTGCAGTGTCATTATTTCTCTTTACTGGAAGTTGGAGACAAAAGCTTGATTAGATTCAGATTCACCTTTTTTTTTTTTTTAATTTTTTTTCAACGTTTTTTATTTATTTTTGGGACAGAGAGAGACAGAGCATGAATGGGGGAGGGGCAGAGAGAGAGGGAGACACAGAATCGGAAACAGGCTCCAGGCTCTGAGCCATCAGCCCAGAGCCCGACGCGGGGCTCGAACTCCCGGACCGCGAGATCGTGACCTGGCTGAAGTCGGGCGCTTAACCGACTGAGCCACCCAGGCGCCCCTCAGATTCAACTTTTTAAAAAATGTTTATTTATTTTGAGAGAGAGAGAGCATGAGCAGGGGAGGGGCAGAGAAAGAGAATCGCAAGTGGGCTCCATGCTGACTTGGGCTTGATCTCATGACACATGAGATCATGACCTGAGCCAAAATTAAGAGTCTGATGCTCAACTGACTGAGCCACCCAGGCACCCAGATTCAACAATTTTTTGACAAAAATTCACTACTTCCTAAATATTGTGTAGTTTAAATTGCATCACATTAGGAAACATAATTATAGCTGTCCCACAATACACGATCTAAGATTGGTTAAAATCTATAGGGGATCCCCCAATCAGTCCTCTAATGGTTTTAGCATCCGTCATACTGTTGCTGAAATCAATGATTTACTACGCATCCTTGTTCTGGTCCAGATTGTTTTCATTAGGTTAGTCTCACCTTTTATTGTTCCCTTTATTTCCGTAGCCTACTGTTTAGAGAAGATCTTTTCACCCTCCAGCTCTCTTTCGATTTTCAG